CCGCGCCTGCCGCTTTCAAGACTTTCCCCCCTAACAACAACAATAACAACAATAACAACAACAACAACAACACGAGCGCCAATAACAACAGCACCGGTACCGCCAACAACGCCAATGGCAACGGTAACAACAACAGCAACAATAACGCCAATGCGAACGGTAACAGCAACAGCAGCAACAATAACGGTACCGGGAACAGCAACAACAATAATAACAACAACGACTCGACGACGACTCACCACGGAGGCGGGAATCAGATCGGTGGCAGCGCGACGTCACCGCTCTACGGCTCGATGACTAGGTTAATGTACATTTCCCCGCTCACGCCGCCGATTTCCGATCCTGGATCTCCGATAGGGGCTCCACCGAGGCGGACGCCGCCTCCACCCTATCCACAGCCGTCCATTATGAATGCTCCTCACAGAATTCAGGCCCCGAGCATCACCACGAAATTCAACAGGCGAAACAATCCCGAGCTGGAAAAGAGACGCGTTCATCACTGTGATTTCATAGGTAAGTGTTGCGTTGCTTTGGTAATCGTCAACGTACTTGTATACGCTTCGTCGAGTCTTTTTATCCGCAGCAGATGTATTGGTAACCGACTCCTAAAGGCGCTTAATGGCACACATACGGTACATAGCGTACGTGTATAATATCATAGTTGTGAGAAGTCTAAACGCGTCGAGCGTGCGAGCTACGGGTACGATCGGATCACGCGATGCTTTCATTGTCAGAGAAACGGTAGCAACGCTCACGGTATTGGTAACTATTTCGTTTTGCAGGTTGTACAAAGGTCTACACGAAGAGTTCGCATTTAAAGGCGCATCAGCGGATACACACAGGTAAGTCGACTGCTTTCGCTGAACGTGCGAGCTTGCCGGATAACGGTTCGAGCTGCGTTTTAGGGGAAAACGGCATGCCGATGGAAAAAAGGAACGAGCGTGGAAATTAGATATGTAGCTCATCCACGCGGAGCGAAACGAAACGTTTGAAAGCGCGCGAGGTCGAGCGCTCGGCGTGGGCAGGGCGCGGTTCTCGCAGCCTCTCCTTCTTTCCAGCCTCTTTCTTCCTTTAACCTTCGTCTTCGTTCGTCTCTCTTGTCCCCTCTGTTTTACCTTATCTATCTTATTCTCGTACACAGTGTATATTCGCTTTCGCAGAGTCTCCGATCTTTCTGTGCGTGCGCGCGGTGTCGCGCAAAGGAATCTCTATCATATGTAAACGTATAAGGAACGCACGAAGCGTGGTATGCGACACTCCGTTTCGTAGACTCGAGCTAGCGACCCACATCCTGTCCGTATCCAAACACACAGCTCGCTAACGCGCTCGTACCTACACCTACGTGTATTTGTACATGGTCGAGCATGAAAGGGGTTTCTGGCTGTCTGCTAAAACCACGCCAAGCGCAATCTTCTCCAAAGCTGTTGTTGCGTGATCTCCCGTCGTCGTCGCTTGATCGGGCATCGATGTTTCTGCATCACCGTCGCCTCACGTCGAGTCTGTTTGTTCAACTGTTTTATCGCGTATCAACGAAAAAGCACATGTATAGCGGAATAAAACACGTTCGATGAGTCTCGTCCGTTTTCTAAGCGAAATCTGCACTCGTTTCAGTTTCCCGGAAGCTGCTTTCTTCGTAACGTTTGTCCTTAACCGTTTGAGTCGCAGGGCTGTTTGAAAAAACAGGTATCGAAATATCAACAACAGCGCGATAGCGAAGAGAAACAAACGGCGCAATAGCGCTCGTCATATTTGTTAGGTTTATGAAATACATCTATATTATTATACAGGGCGGTTGGTAATTGGTGGTACAAGCGAAAAGGGGGTGATTCTACGTGAAAAAGGAAGTCGGAAATATAGAATAAAAATTTTTCGTTTGAGGCTTTGTTTTCGAGAAAATCGACTTTGAATTTTCGCTCGGTACGCGTGCGCTTTATCGCGTCTCGTTATGACGGATCTCACTGTAGATCGTTGTCTCGATGAAAAAATTAATAAAAAAAAAAGAAGTTAAAAAACCCCTTTCCGCTTGTATCACCAGTTACCAACCACTTTGTATATGCGTACTATTAATTTATAAATATGTCGAGTTTTGTTCGATAAAAATTATTGAGAAAAAAACAATGAAAAACAAAATACTGTGAGTCGTCCGTTCAAATATACTCGGATTTTCCCATACAAAATCTAAACAGCGCGATCGCGCTGCTTGCGACCCAAACGGTTAATACGCCTAATCGAATCTTCTTCATCCTTCTTCATCTACCCCGATATCTACATCGTTTCTCTGCTAACACGCCTTTTCGCGAACGAAACGCAGCAAGTCGCGAAACCATCGATCAGACTATCGAGGGACTTCTAAATTAGCGAATTCCGAGAAATCGACTTTCCAACATAACGATTTGTCGTAAAATACCGATTAAATGGTAAAAAGTCCGCTTTCGAGTACGTTGCTCGATCAGTGGATAGTCAAAATCTCGACGATAGAGGCGCGTAAGTACGTAACATCAGTTCGAAGCGGGAAAATTGGCGCGCGAATTCGACGCTCGTCTTCTGTGTAAACACAAACGCGAAAGCGGACGTATGTACGCGCGTACAGAGACGCGTATAGGCTCGCGCGAAGAAGGAAGGACGAGAGAGAGACGGCGAATGCACGCGTGCCTGCTCGACAAGCTATCGCGGAATGCCTGCCAAAGGCGTTCGAACCACGATGTACCACTTTCCAATTGATACGTCGAGGTTTTGCGGTAACTCGTCATCGAGTACGCGAATCTTTCAATTGCGTTTCGAACCACGGAACTCGACCAACGCAGCGAAATTTCGACAATCTCGGCCCGATCAAATCGATCCGAGTACGCGGTTACTTCTACCTTCCCCCTCCCTTCCTCCCCACCCTCGTCCGCCTGTCAAATTTTCTGTAGCGCGTCAATTTTACCGACAGACTACAGAGAGTAGGTACGGTTTATCCTGGTTTACTTTCGTCGAAATGCCGCGCGTATATCTTGACGTTCGTTCGTCGATTTTCCGATTGGAAGAACAGAGATTTCATAGAAATCGCGATGATCGCGTAGCGGAGGAAAAGGTAACTTGAAATTCGGAGCAAGTAAAAACAGATCGCGAGACGAGGCAGAAGAAAGGAAAGGCGAGAACGCGATCGGTCGCTGAAATCCGAAAGGTGAATCGCAAGGGGTAAAGCAGTGGCGTAGTTGTCGGATTGGGAGCCTCGGGCACGTGGCTCTCGTCTTGAATGAACGAACGCAACGCCGAACCGCTCGCGCATAGGTCTCGGCGAGCCTGGCTTTCACGGGCGCTTGTCCTCTGGTCCGATGCACCTCGACACACACGCGCGTGTAAATACGCGTACACGTGCGTATGCGTTTCTCTCGTCCCGTCCCGTCCCGTTACCGTCTCATCTCGTCCCGTGGTGTCTGGTCCCGTGCTATCCCGTGCGTCCAGAAAAGAATATCGGCCGATCGCTCGTAAATTATATACCGTTCACGATGGAACGTCTATATTCGAGGATTGTTCGACCGGTCGTGAACGAACAGCGCGTCGCGTCGCGTTCGATTCTTCGATCAACGCGAAGGTATTACGATATTAGTATTCTACTAATGTATTCGAATGCGTTATACCGCGTGTAAGCTGTACACGTTGCGTGCTTGTTAATAGGAAAATTTCGTGCTCGTTCACCGATTTCAGGGTTTCGCGCGAGACAACCTTGAACAATTGTTCGTTCTCGTTCGTTTGCAATATGTGTTATCAAAATTACAATGTTCTGTACCGCTATAGAACGAGCGAACGAGACGTTCTCAAAGGTGTTCTCAAAGTCATTCTGAAACGATTCGATCGCGCTCTTTGAAAATACCATCTGTCGCAACGAAAATTCTAGTCTCATTGGACGAGGTATGCATAAACTCTGGAAGGTTCGAGAAACTCTCGTAAGACGAGCCACACGTAAGTAAGTACGTGGGATGAAACGTGCGCGTACCGTTCCCCGCGATATTCGCAGCCGATCATTCTACTCGTATAACGTTCTCATCGGTTATATCTGTTAGATAAAGGTTAATTTCCTAGTTTGCCGACAAATGCGGTCATCTTCTTAGCTAAGAAACTGGAGGAGAGTGTGACGATATTCGAAATGATATGGACGCGCGCTGCACTTATACGCGTGGATACGTTCGCTGGAGGTCAGAGTGTTGGTTGCACGTCGAATCGTGGAAGGAACACGCAAGCCAACGCAAGGCAACGCGACGCGACTTTACGCGCGTGTATACATACTTACCGACCAAGTACCAATACGTGGACGGTAGAAGCACTCACGCGTATGTAGAGACAACCGATTGGCACGTATGCGAGGCTAAGTCTCACGGTGTAGGGTGCGCGAACACGAGGCGAGCAACATTCCTGCCTCATCCATGCTTTCAACTTTGGCAACCTTCTAGCCTGCGTGTTTGTCCGCTGTCGTTTCGCCGCCTCTAAAACCCGACGATCGGCCTATTGCAGCGAAACGTTCGCGATCGCCGCTTCTAACGGTGTTTCTCGATCGTGAACGAGCGACCGACGAAAATCGAACTTACGAGGAAACGATAAAGAGAAAGAGAAGCAGAACCGCTGCGCGGATATATACGGGTTATACCGTACGAGTTTCGAGAACGAGACCGTTGGGGATCGTGAGACGCTGCGAATGCCAGACACCGTACCGCGGTGAAAGTGATCCGAAATTAACGGGGACGCCTCGAGGTTCGTAGGCGTCGTCGAGCCAACGGGCACACGCGATTCAACGATACCTTCCATCTGGAACGTTATCAACATCGTAAAAATTTGTACCGACCGGGTAGGCACACGGATACGATGAACCGATCGAGTCTCGAGAAGATCGCTGTTTCGTTTCCTATTTCCATTTTGTTGCGTAGAAAGTCGCGGCAACGATGCCGCAAAAAGACACATAAAGTAACGCGACGAGTATCTGCTCTCGAGATGGAGCTCATGCCGTGAGGCGGGAACACGTCTCGTTGAACATCGCTGGGAAAAACACGATCGTCGGACAAAAACGGAATTGGCGTTAAACTCGTGTTATTCGCTGAAAGCGCGAAAAACTAGACTCAGTCCCAACCACGATCCGAGAGTAATTGATCGAATGACTTAATACGAGTAACTTGTCGATTAGATGACGACACGCGTGCAACGCGTATCGTCCTTGTCATCGTCGTTGTCATCGTCCTTCGATCGCTCTATTTCGTTTCTCTCGATCGCCAGTACATTTTCAACGGTACGATTAATTCTCCATTCGAAGGATAAACGCGCGAACGCAGGACCAAACGATAAATCGATTGCTACGAATCTCGCAACGAGACTCGTGTCGCCGAAGATGCTACGATACGAAGAGACGGCACGCGACAGACACGGCTAGACGACGAGAGAAAAAAGCTATTACCGGAAAGCTGGTTCGGGCCTTTTCTCTTCGGCGCAGCCGACGCGGACACGATGTCTCGAAGAAATCGCCGCGGAATTCTCATGAACGAGCAATACCGTGAATGGATGCCGTTCGTGGTGGTAATACCGATTATTGTATGGGAGTCGTGTGTGTGGCTAAGACCGGTTGGGGTCGTCTCCATAGCGAGACCGAGCTGTGTTCCATACGGCAGAACGAGTCACCGGCATGCGTGGGCGTATTTCTCAGCTATCGAGTCTTCTCGCTCGTTATTTTCCGATGCTTACTTCTATTGCCGCCCCAAACGATTTTCTCGATTCCGTGCCGAGATTCCACGTGTCTCCGACCACTTTCAATACGGCCTTACCAAAATGCCTTTTATCGCCTTTCGTCCAATCCTGTTTGGTTTTTTCTTTGGTCCACTTATCAACGTCGAATTCCGAATTCGTGAACGTTCGGCATAGCTCGCGAGAACTATCGCCGGAATGCGCGAAAGCTGTAAAATACTCGAGCGACCAAGAGCGATCGTGGGATCCTTGTCTGCGAGTTCCGAGCACATACCTGTTTGTTGACAACAGACGCGGCTCGGAGAAACTCGTCTAAATAGCGTTTCCCGCGTCAGCCGTGAAAGGACACGTTCCGCCAAGTTAATTAGCACGGATAATTGGAATGCGAATAAATAGAATGATTATCGGTCGTCCAATCGGCATTTACACGTTTACAATTTACTCGACGGATTCGCTTGCTTTCTGTTCGTTTCGTCGACTATCGGAGAAAAATTGGTCGATCGATGATTAAATGTAGAATCGTATGTAGAAAAGGCAAGTAAGGGTAGGGCGTACGTGAAAGAGGACACGAAGGAGGAAGCATGGCGCGTTGAATGATATCGATTGAAAGGAAAGAGAAGAAAAGGGGGCGAAAGGGAGACGACGCGATGGGTTGCAAGCGCACGGTGAAGAGAATTCCAGAGATTCGGAGAGAGGAAGCGCGAGGTAAGGGGGCGAGATCGGTCGAGACAGCAGCGGTGGTGCACGATTCGTCGGTAGTTGGGCCAAGGAAAGGGACCTATTAAAGAACAAAGCGGTGCTCTTTGCGACGGCGATAGATGTACGAAGTACCTTAGGCTACGGGAGATGCCGCGTTGACCTTTAACTGTACCCGCATGCCGCAATACGCTCACCTGTATTCTAGCGCAATCCGTTCGCGTTCTCGCTGCGCCGCGCCGATCCTGCTTCTGCTCCTGCTCCTGCTTTTGCTCTTCGCCTCGTCTCGTCCCACCTCGCCTCGCCTCGCCTCACCTCGCCTCACCTCACCTCACCGCGCCTCACCT